CGAGTCCTTTTTTACAGAATCCTTCACTCTCTACTGATATCAGATGATATTAACTATTCATGAGAACCTCAGTCCCCTCTCCTACCCCTAATGTCTTTTCTCAGCGACCTAGCTTTTCCTCCCAGGATGGAAAGATCCAGGAGCATTTCGGCTTTGGGTAGATCTAAAACATACTAATATGCTTTCCCTGCTGACCTTGCATGGCCCTAAGTCATGCAATGTTGTTTCTATGCAGAAGTGAGTCTGATTTGGCACTCTCCAGCTTTAGTAAATAAACCTGTGTGTCTCTGTGGCATGGGTGACAAGGTCAAATAAAGAAGGTGAATCTCGTCAGCGGAGACACAGACAGCAATAACAACCTGTCAGAGGTTCTAACACTACTCAATCCAAAGGTTAAAAAAAAAGTTGGGGCACTGCTTTAAAGCCTAACCTCAGCCATTTTTTCATTTTAATTTTTGGACAGAGTGTAGAGGAGATTCTGTCAGGTTTTTATTTCTGTCTGTGACCCCTCTGGGAAAATTCTCCATCACTTCCGCTTTCAGTAGAAGAAATAGGACATTTGGTTGTCCCTGGGAAGAGGGGGAATTAGACAGCCTAGGTAACACTTCCATGTATTTATTACCTCTCACAGAGACCACAGTACTCTCCCTGACTATGCCTTCACCTGTTTCTCTCTTCAGATGGACGGAGCCATCTTTCTTCTGGCCTCATTCACAGTTACCATCTATTTCCTGAACTGAGATTCTGGATCTGAGAGACTCGTTTTATGCTAGAAAGGTACTAAACTGGAAGTTTGTCACAGCTCCTACCCTAACAATCTCTTATCCATTTGGTGGATCTTCTGTATAAAGACACATATCAATCCAGAGGTTGCTCCAAGAAATTCAGTAAGATTTAGAACCTTTGGATTGCCCAACCACAACTGCTACCTGAAGTGTTTCCTTTTCATCTTTCCGTTAACGCTGTTGCTTCCTGACATTTAAGCTATTCACATTTTAGATATCATGTATGTTTTGATGATGGAATGTCACTCTCCCCCTTTTTTATTTTAGTGTCCCACGGGCTCTGTTTTGTAACTTAATTTACATGAAAATTTCAATAAAAAGAAGTTTAAAAAAAAGGGATGACACACTCATGTCAATCCTGGTGCCTGTGAACTTCTTGGTTGTGTTGACACAGATCAGCCCCTGCTGCAGCCTCTCTTCTTGTGATTTTCTACATAGTGTGCAGTCTGATCACTGGGGGAGAGGAGCCTGAGGAAATAATTCCTCCTGCCTGCAGAAGATTGATGACATACTCTCAGCCTAGGTAAAGACACTAGACTGGATCTTAAGAATGGCTTTTTAATGATAAAAAGTAAAACGTTTTTTGAAAAATGATACTGTTGTTGTATCTTTTGACATATCATGAAGGTATTCATGCAAACATTTAGATACTGAGGGGTTAGGACAATGATCCATGTATCATCTACCATTCACTTGACGCACTTTAAAATCATATTCCTCAGCTGAGACAGAGAATGATTGCATTTTATAATGAAAAATGCGATAATTACCTATAAACAGTGATATACCTGATTTGTAAAACAATTATAAAAAAAAAAAACAAACATCAGTCCCCTGCTACAGACAGTACAAGCCCAGTATGCCAGGCTATCCCTATGACAAGTGTGCAGCCTACAGTTCTCAAATGCCCTTCAACATTGGGGTGACTATGTGATTCACCTAAAATTTAAAGTCTAAGTTCACTTTTTTCTAAATTCCAGCTCCCCTATTTACCAATATACCATTAATGCACTTCTGCTGCAGAAAAGAAAAAGCTTTCTCTGTCTTTTAGGACAGGTATTACCTTAGCCCCTGGTGTGTTTATTTGGGGTGTAAAATCCGTTGGAAGTAGTTCACCAGCTGACCTCAGAAACACACACCCTGCACCAGGGGCGGACTGACAACTCATGGGGCCCCCAGGCAATAGGGGATCATGGGGCCCCTGTGTCCTTGCCCAAACTCAAAAAAGCCTATGAAAAAGGTACCAGGGGCTTCTCATAGGGCCCCCTACTGACCCCAGGCCCTCGGACAGTGGCCGAGTTACCAAATGGTCAGACCGCCCCTGCCCTGAATTGTCCTCCCCCTCCAAGAGATTGCTCTCACCCACCTCTTTACACACATACAATCATTATCAGTCTATATGTCATTATATGTTCTCACTAAATACACAGCCAATGATTGATTTTTTTTGTTCCTTCATCTTGCAGATATCTATCATTTGGCAGAGTGTGCAGGAGCTCAGAGATCACATAGGAGCCAATGTGGAGCAGAGCTGTAGTATTGAAAACAGGGGAAGTTTGTAAAGCTCACACTACACTATACAATCTGATTGTACAATCTCCTTGACCCTAGGTTCACACCTAAGAGTTTTCTGCAGCATTTTGCATTTTTCAGAAATGCACTACAGTCCATTTAACATGATTTACTATGGGACATGTTCACATCTCCTCATTTTCACACGGTGCATTTTTGTAGAGGGTCAAGGAATTTTTTAAAAGCAAAAAGTTGCATTTTTGGTTCTATAGACTTCAATGGAAATGCTGCAGAAAAGCATCTAGTGCATTTTTATGCATTCCAGTTAATTTTTTCCCCCTCTCTTTTTCTTCAATTTAAACAGGGACATGTGCGTTCCAGTGCATTTTTTATGCATTTGGGTGTGTTCCAGTGCGTTTTTGATGCGTTTTACAGCATTCCAGTACAGTTCTATGCAGAAAAAATGCAGCATGTTCTACTTTTTTTCCTGAACTGCAAGCAATGATGTGAACTATGACATTGACAACCATATAATCTACTTTCTGTGCATTTGGATGCAGAATAAAACACAACTGAAATTCATGTAGTGTGAACTGACCCTTAGGTCGGTTCACAGTATAGAAACGCAGTCCAGATGTGTTCCGGATGAGTTTTTGCATGCATGTTTTTGTCAATTCCTGGTGCGTTTTTGACTCGTTCCAATGCGTTTTTATACCTTTAAGTTCATTTTTTCCCTTCTCTTTTTCTTCAATTTAAATAGGGACATGTGCGTTCCTGTGTGTTTTTGGTGCCTTCCGGTGCATTTTTTATGCATTGTACTGCGTTCCAGTACAGTTCTGTGCAGAAAAAATGCAGCCTGTTCTACTTTTTTTTCTTCAACCGGAATGCACTGGAATGGCAAGGACTGATGTGAACTATGACATTGACAACCATATAATCAACTTTCTGTGCGTTTTGGATGCAGAAAAAAAAGCAACTGAAACACATGTAGTGTGAACTGGCCCTTAAAAAAGTTCCTGACCCTTTCCAAAAACGCAGCAGCTCAAAAAAGCATAGATATGAACATGTTCCCTAGGAAACCATGCTCCTAGATTGTAAGCTCTAATGAGCTGGGCCCTCTGTTTCCTCTTGTACCAAATTGTATTGTAACTGTAATGTCTACCTTCATTTTGTAAAGCACTGCGCAAACTGTTGGCGTTATATAAATCCTCTATAATAATAATAATAATAATAATATTAATAATAATAATAAAAAAGAGACTGTAGTGTGTTTCTGCAAAAGCACTAAAAAATGCATTGGTGTGAACGGAGCCTCAAGGAGATTGTACAATCAGGCAATGCATGATGGGAGATGATCTACAGGAGGTGATGGAAGCAAAAAGCATTTTTTAAAAGTTCAAATAGAAACATGGAATATTTGAGGCTTTTGTGAATGAAGTAAGTGAGAGATAAGAACACTAGGATGGCTGGGGCAGAAAGGACATTAGAAGAGGCTTTTTTTATTATGAAAAGTGAAATTCAGCTTGAAAAGGTGAACTTACCCTTTAAATACATTGCTTTGTGTAATACAGAATGGGATTTTGCAGCAATATCAGAATCTACCGCTAGATGGCGATGTTGATTTGCAAGGTCATTTCCCCCCCCCCCCCCCCCCCAGCCTGCTTTCAGGAAAGTTGTATTTTTCTAGTGGTACATTGCTGCTCTCTTGCCAAAAACTGTTTATTTTACTTTCAGGCATTAACAGATTAGTGTTCACAAGTAAGATAACGCACACAATTTATAGCAGTATGTTTTCAAATACACAGTACATTAGTGACTTACTCAGTCCCTTGCAAAATATTTAGATTATGGCCTGATGGGGATTTTATATTTATTGCCCACAGGAATTAATTTAGGTGTTAAAGACAAATAAAGACTGGAACCATGCTGAAATGACTCTTACTTTTTTTTTTAGTTTGCGCTGCCATTGCCCAACAAGAGAATATTAGCCTACGGTTTCTTATTTTTACTCTTCTGCTGAAACTGCCTGGAAATCTGTACATAACTAATCAGCATAGTACGCCCTGCATGAATTTAAAAGTGTACTCCAGACACAAAAACTTTCAGGCACATAAATTCTATGCTTCAATAGCAACAAAGTATATAAATCCACTTTATGTGCACCAAATGCCTTTACAACCCCAGATGTTACTTGTCAATAGTAGTAGTGTACATAGCCTGTGCAAAAAGCAGAGGTGTGGGAGGGGCCCAGCAGGCTCCACCCAGTATAGACTACCTGCAGAAAAGAAAACTACAGAAGGGGGGCGGAGACAAGAACAGTCTCCCTGCGCAAGAAGAGAATGCAACAGGTTTTTATTACAGAAAGCTCCTGCACAGAGGTAAAGTTTCAAACTAAATTGCTGCACAGATCTGGAAAATATACACAAAGCTCAGCAAGATTCAATGAAGAATACACATGCCTTTTATATTTAGACAATATTTTCTTATCCTGGAGAGCCCTTAGATACACTATATTGCCAAAAGTATTGGGCCCGTCCTCCAAATCATTGGATTCAGGTGCTCCAATCACCTCCATGGCCACAGGTGTATAAAATCAAGCACCTAGACATGCAGACTGCTTCTACAAAAATTTATGAAAGAATGTGTCGCTCTCAGGAGCTCAGTGAATTCAAGCGTGGTACCGTGATAGGTTGCCACCTGTGCAATAAGTCCATCCGTGACATTTCCTGGCTACTAAATATTCCACGGTCAACTGTTAGTGGTGTTATAACAAAGTGGAAGCAACTGGGAACAACAGCAACTCAGCCACGAAGTGGTAGGGCACGTAAAATGACAGAGCGGGGTCAGCGCATGGTGAAATGCACAGTGCGCAGAAGTCGCCAATTATCTGCAGAATCAATAGCTAAAGACCTCCAAACTACACATGACCTTCAGTAGTAGCACAACAACAGTGCATAGAGAGCTTCATGGAATGGGTTTCAATGGCCAGTTGCATCCAAGCCTTACATCACCAAGTGCAATGCAAAGCGTCTGATGCAGTGGTATAAAGCATGCCGCCACTGGACAATAGAGCAGTGGAGACGTGTTCTCTGGAGTGACCAATCACGCTTCTCTGTTTGGCAATCCAATGGACGTGTCTGGGTTTGGCGGTGCCAGGAGAATGGTACTTGACTGACTGCATTGTGCCAAGTGTAAAGTTTGGTGGAGGGGGGATTATGGTGTGGGGTTTTTTTCAGGGGTTGGGCTTGGCCCCTTAGTTCCAGTGAAGAGAACTCTTAAGGCATCCGCATACCAAGACATTTTGGACAATTTCATGCTCCCAACTTTGTGGGAACAGTTTGGGGATGGCCCCTTCCAGTTCCAACATGACTGCACACCAGTGTACAAAGCAAGGTCCATAAAGACATGGAGGAGCAAGATTGGGGTGGAGGAACTTGACTGGCCTGCACAGAGTACTGAGCTCAATCCAATAGAGCACCTTTGGGATGAATTAAGCGGAGACTGTGAGCCAGGCCTTCTCACCCGACATCAGTGCCTGACCTCACAAATGCGCTTCTGGAAGAATGGTCAAACATTCTCATAGACACACTCCTAAACCTTGTGGACGGCCTTCCCAGAAGAGTTGAAGCTGTTATAGCTGCAAAGGGTGGGCCAACTCAATATTGAACCCTATGGGCTAAGACTGGGATGCCACTAAAGTTTATGTGCATATTATAGCAGGCGTTCCAATACTTTTGGCAATATAGTGTATGTTGGCTGCATTCGCTTCCTTCTTTTTCAAGCTTTTTTCCCGTTATTTTCACCTGGTGATCCTGCCAGTAACACACTTCATGTCAGAGGGTGACAATGATCACCGTACTGTGTTTATAGAGGAGCCCAGTCATGGCGTAGGGGGCTTCTCACATCCTTCACAGCCAGTTGCTGGTTGCAGTTTCTGATTGTAATGAAGGTCTTCTTGAAGGTCTGCTGATTGATTTGCCTCTAAGCTGTGGCTGGCACCTGATGGCGGTGTTGAGAGTGAGGTCCATATTAATTAAATCTAAGGCTGACTGCCACTGGAGTTGTTGAAGATCAATAAAAGTGTTGATCCATCCAGCCCATGTTGGGTGTTTTTCCTAAAGTGGTTTGAGACCTTGATCTAGAGGTCTTAGCTTCTGGTAAGAGGCTTTTATTTCTCTGGGTGGCACGCACGGTGAGGGTTTGAGGATTGCAAGCACCAGTCACTTTATTGTTATCTGAAGCACGGATTGAGCACGATTTCTCTACAATAATTTGGTTGTTGGACTTTATTACTTATATTTTTATATATATTTAATTATTTTATGTCATTATTGAATACTGTGGATTTTGTCATTTGTATTGAATTATTGTCACATTTATGCACTTCATTGAATTTTTTAACAGCGCAACACATTTTGTTTAATATGGAGGAGCAGCACTGGCATCCTAGGTCTCTGTTGATTGGGACTAAATACCCCTCTCCCTCTCCTCCATCCATACATAGAGATAAGTTGTGTAATTTACAGAAGGTAGCTGGGGAAATGGATAACATTAGTTGAGATTTCAGATCAGCACAAAACGTTACATGGACACTGGATTTTTGACAAGATTCACATGGGAAAGTGGATCTGCTTCCTCAGTGGGGCCTCTGCCCACTGATTCCCGCTGAGCAAGGGGATGACAGGTACATGTCCACTTGCTTATGCAGAGCAGACACTGACACAGCCCGCTGTCCTCTATGAGCCGTTGGATGGAAACGGAACACCTGTCCGATTCCATCCGACTGTCATTTGATCCGATCCTCCAGACGGAAGAGGAACAGATCCCCATCCATTTGTTTTTAGCGGACAGGATCAGAACAGATGCAGGCGGGTGTAAACAGACACATGTATGTTTACACCCAGGGGCGGGCTGACAACTCCAGGGGCCCCCGGGCAATAGGGGATCATGGGGCCCCTGTGTCCTTGCCCAAACTCAAAAAAACCTATGAAAAAGGTACCAGGGGCATCTCATGGGGCCCCCTATTGACCCCGGGCCCTCGGGCAGTGCCCAAGTTTCTAAATGGTCAGTCCGCCCCTGTTTACACCCGCAACTCCAAAGAGAGCGTTCAATAGGGTTGGCTTGAAAAATGGACAGCCAGACCTGATCGGTCTGCTCATGTAATGGGCCTTAATGGCCATTTTCTTTACTTGCAGAAAATGTTCTTAGCCTGAAAAAAGAAACCAAATGCAGAACTGGTCAGAGAAGGAGCAGCAGATATCCTCCTCCTCCTCTCTCTACTCTCTGTATGCTCTACAACCTCAGTTGACCCTTTGTGTATGTATAGCATTTCACTTCATTAAAGTTCACACTTCACTGATTGCTCTCTAACTTCTTTCTGTTGATGCAGCAATTTCAGGTGGATATCCCTGAGCCTGTATCACTCCAGCAGCACAGCAGTGCATGTCACCTCACTCCAGTGAGATTACCTGGACAAAAGGAAGTCACTTCTTCCCGTGTTTCCTAATTCCCAGGCCTCTCGCTCACTACTCCTCTTCCATGACACCTCCAGAAAGATGCATGGGATACTCTGTGCTGAGATATCTGTCCCTGTATGTGGGGTGCCGACTGCTAGTGAGGGGGCCAAGCTCACAAACTTCCTCACTACCACACCCTTCTGTCAGCCATTCTGTGTCACCATGACGTCCACTGGCTGGCTGTCTAGACACTGACATCATTCTGGCTACCACTAGCAATGGCTATATAGCTTTATGTCCTTCAGCTCTGCTGCCAATTAGACCTTTGTAATGTTATTTTAATCTACTCTCGTACATCCGAATGTCAATGCGCACCAACGGGCCCTTGAACCACACGCACACTGCGAAACCCGCCCGGCCCTGGCACCCCCCGCACCCTCACCCAAAACCGTGGATGGGGCCGCCAAGCCCAGAGCACCGGACACCGCTGTAACCACCCCTGACCCTAACCCGGAGAAGCAGAAACACCAGGCCCCGTGCGTCCCCATTATCCTGCCCTAGGCCCCCGCAAACATCTCCACCTGCAGGCGGGAATCACCCAGAAGCAGGCCCAGCGCCCCCACTACCGCCCAGTGCAAAGCCCCCAGCCAGACCGCAAATCGCAGACCCCCGCACCAATACCCAACGAGATGACGCCGCCCCCCGACACCGCAGAAGCCCGCCCCCCAACAGGTCCTGGAGAGCAGCTGAAAAGAAGAGAGCAGACCCAAAAAAAAAACGGTAACTCACCAGGCTGCCCAGGAGACGTCCAGCAGCCGCGCGTCCAAAATCCACCGGTGCGAGCGGCCACCTGTTGCCCCCGGATCAGGTTCCGACAGCTCGCCCTCCGATTGGTCCTCCTCTGCTCAATGACTGGATGGCCTCCCAGTCCCAGGAGCCACGGGTCCCGCAGGTCTGTGCCGCTCCTGCCGCCCAGCACCAGTCACACTTCCCGGACGACCCTGGGCACTTGCCAGCCCTCCGCCTAGCGCTGCACCTGATGAAAAATTATTTTTTTTTTTTGTTAATGGAGCCGCTGCTCCATGCTGCCAGGGGGCCCGCCGGCCGCAGCACCAGACAGCCCGGCAGCCGCAGCAGGACATCTCCCCCCGCCGGCACCCTCCCTGATAGGTGCCTTGTCAGCGGAGGAGCCGTTGTCATCCCGTCCTCACTGCCGGGCGGGCGGGGTTTCGTCCACGAGTGACCCCGCCCCCGAAACTCCGCCGAAGACAAGGATTCCTCCCGGCCTCCCCGGGAGCAGAGGCAGGAGAGCGCCCTGCCAGCGGGGGCCGGAGGGTCCCGAGTGGGGCTCCCATTGTGGAGCCGAGCCCTGGGGCTTGTGGGGAGACCGGGGGAAAGCTCTCCGGAGGCGCAGACCTCCCAGCACATGGGTGCTCCCGCCCAACTAACTCTGATGAGCCCAGGTCCTGCAGAAAAGCAGAGACCCGGCTCTGCAGCCAGGCCCTCCCCCTGGAGGCAGCAGGCCCACCCGTCCCTCGCATGGCCCTGCCATGCAAAGCCATGCATAGCAGTGTGCAGGAGGCAGGGGCGGACCGACAACCCATGGGGCCCCCGGGCAATAAGGGATCATGGGTCCCCTGTGTCCCTGCCCAAAATCAAAAAGCCTACAAAAAAGGGTACCCGGGGGATCCCATGGGGCCCCCTACTGACCTCGGGCAGTGCCTGACTCTCCTAAGCTCTCTCTCCCATGTCCAGCTCCCAACTGACGCCCCTCCCCAGAACACCCCACCCTAAAGTGCAGGAGACCCCACCTACACTCTCCTCTACCAACCAGATCCCCCAGCTATCCTTTACCAACTCTAAACAATCATTAACCCTCACACATCTTCCTTCCCACTCTGGGCCTAGTCATGCCTGCCCTTCGTTAATTCTTTTCTTCTTTTATCGCTGCGGGCATTTCTTTCTGGCTACCACTAGCAATGGCTATATAGCTTTATGTCCTTCAGCTCTGCTGCCAATTAGACCTTTGTAATGTTATTTTATTTATTTATTTCAGGTACTTATATAGCGCCATCAATTTACGCAGCGCTTTACAAATATATTGTACATTCACATCAGTCCCTAACCCTCAAGGGTGTACAATCTAAGGTCCCTAACTCACATTCATACATACACATACTAGGGACAATTTAGACAGGAGCCAATTAACCTACCAGGATGTCTTTGGAGTGTGGGAGGAAAGCAGAGTACCCGGAGGAAACCCACGCAGTCACAGGGAGATCATGCAAACTCCAGGCAGGTGGTGCCATGGCTGGGATTCGAACCAACGACCCTAGTACTGCCAGGCAGAAGTGCTAACCATTTAGCCACTGTGCTGCCCATGTTTCCTCTTCTACTCCTCTTCTACTCCTCTTCATCCCCATTACAAGCCCTGTTCTTTGGTACGCTATCCATGCAACTCTTTAGTGACTTCATACCAGGCAGAATAACTTAAAAGGTTTGTAAAGGCTGAAGGTTTTTACATGCATGCATTCTAGGCATGACGGTAAAAAACCTTCTATGTGCTGCTCCCCCCACAGCCTCCCCTCCAGTACTCACCTGAGCCCCCTCTCAATCCAGCGGTATGCACAAGAGCCTCGGCTGTCCTGAGACTCCCTCTCCTCATTGGCTGAGACAGCAGCAGCACTGCTGTCAATGTCAGCCAGTGAGTCAATGAGGAGAGAGAGGGGAAGCAGGGCCAAGCCACAGCTCTATGGACATGAGCATGCACCACTGCACCCGTAGCAAGCAGCTTGCTATTTGGGGCACTGGTCAAGGGGAGGAGCCAGGAGTGTTGACAGGGACCCGAGAAGAGGAGGATCGGGGCTGCTCTGTGCAAAACCAATGCACAGAGCAGGTAAGTATGACATGTTTTTTTTTTTAAAAACCTTTAATATCAATTTAACCATAAAAGTTCTTTACTGAGGGAATTAAATATAACAGCTGAACAGTTTTCAGCAATATCTTCCATACACGTTCCTGTACATACTGTTCTACGTGCCCTTTTGTTGTCTCAGCTCTCTTTACTGCCTCCTCCTGCCCCATGAAATAGTCATACCTTAAAGGATGAATTCACCTTTTTTTTTCTAAATTCCAGCTCTTCTATGCACCAGTATAGATAATGTACTTCTTTTGTAGAAATTCAAAAGCTTTCCATCTTTTCTACCCACCTTTATGTCAGCGCCCAGATGGCTATCCAAAAAGCTTCTCCATTACTTCTGCCTTATTTCCTGCAGAGACTTTAGGTCATGACCAGGGGCGGACTGACCATTTGGGAACACGGGCACTGCCCGAGGGCCCGGGGTCAGAAGGGGGCCCCATGAAATGCCCCTTGTAACTTTCATAGGCTTTTTTGGGTGTGGTTTGAGTGTGGGCAAGGACACAGGGGCCCCATGATCCCCTATTGCCCGGGGGCCCCATGAGTTGTCAGTCCGCCCCTGGTCATGACACAGGAAGGAATTGACCAGCTGACCTCATTAGCACACACCCTGTGTCATCTACCCTCCTACCTCCCACCCCCTTCCAGGTGCACGAATATTAAATGAAAAGCAATCAATCAGTGATCACTGTTCTCACTAAATACACAGACATCAATTTTTATTTTTCTACCTGGAGAAGCTTTTTATATACAGCCATCTGGACACTGACATAACGGTGGGTAGAAAAAATGGAAAGCTTCTGAATTTTTGCAAAAGAAGTACATTAATGTTATACTGGTACATAGAGGAGCTGGAATGTAGAAAATCTAAATGTGAACAAAAGGTGACTTTAATTGGGTGAAAAGTCTTTAAGGTGGAGCTCCACCCAAAAGGGGAAGCTACACTTGTTTGCACCTCCCCCCCCTCCACTGCCACATTTGGAACTTTTTGGGGGGAGGGGGGAGCTGTACCTGGTTTTGATAGGTACCTGCTCCCACTTCCAGCTCAGTTTGCTGCAGCGGACTGAGTCGGAGGTTCGCCCCCCCCTTTCCCCTGCAGTCTTCTAGGACACTGTGGGACCAATCACAAGCTGCAAGGCTTCATTTCTACTTTTAATTTTTTGGGGGGAACCCTGGAACTCCTCTTTAACTCCATAGTCCATTTTAGCAGCATAAGTCCATACCCTGGAACAACGACTGGACTCCCACAAAGGGTGGTGAATCAACAAAAGCTGCAGTTACATCTTCAGCAGCACTTTCCTTTTTTCCCGTGGGGGACACAGCAAACATGTGGAAGAAGGGGCTCTGGTCAAATGAGAATAAAATTGAACTTTGCCTAAAAGCAAAACGCTATGTGTGGCTGAAAACTAACACTGCACATCACCTGAACACACCATCCCCACTGTGAAACATGGTGGTGGTAGCATCATGTTGTGGGGATGCTGTTCTTCAGCAGGGACAGGGAAGCTGGTCAGAGTTGATGGGAAGATGGATAGAGCCAAATATAGGGCAATCTTAGAAGAAAACCTGTTAGAGTCTGTAAAAGATTTCAGCTTGAGCGGAGGTTCACCTTCCAGCAGGACAATGACCCGAAACATACAGCCAGAGCTACAATGGAATGGTTTAGATCAGGGGTGGGCAAACTTTTTGACTTGAGGGCCGCAATGGGTTCATATATTGGACCCGGGGGCCGGACCAAGAGTAGATGAATGATGTGTATGTGTCCCCCATAGTAAGCATAGTAATTCATCCCCCATATAGTAATTCATCCCCCATAGTAATTCATCCCCCATATAGTAATTCATCCCCCATAGTAATTCATCCCCCATAGTAATTTATCCCCCATATAGTAATTCATCCCCCATAGTAATTCATCCCCCATATAGTAATTCATCCCCCATAGTAATTCATCCCCCATATAGTAATTCATCCCCCATATAGTAATTCATCCCCCATAGTAATTCATCCCCCATATAGTAATTCATCCCCCCTATAGTAATTCATCCCCCCTATAGTAATTCATCCCCCATATAGTAATTCATCCCCCTTATAGTAATTCATCCCCCATATAGTAATTCATCCCCCATAGTAATTCATCCCCCATATAGTAATTCATCCCCCCTATAGTAATTCATCCCCCCTATAGTAATTCATTCCCCATATTAATTCATCCCCCATAGTACTATTCCCCCCCAAGTAGTAAGCCAAGTCCCCCGTGTCAATTCACTTACCTTTGCTCCGCGCGTTCCTCTCGCCGTGTGTTCTCGCGCCGTTCCGGTCTTCAGGGCGGACTGTGAGAGGAGCCTAGCTCCCCTCACGTTCGTCTAGCTGCCCCGCCTACACACATCCTGACAGCCAATGTATCCCGCGCCGTTCCGGTCTTCAGGGCGGACTGTGAGAGGAGCCTAGCTCCCCTCACGTTCGTCACGCTGCCCCGCCTACACACATCCTGACAGCTCCGCGGGCCGGATTAAAAGGTCCGCCGGGTCGTAGTTTGCCCATTGCTGGTTTAGATCAAAGCATATTCATGTGTTAGAATGGCCCAGTCACAGTCCAGACCTAAATCTAATTGAGAATCTGTTGCAGGACTTGAAAATTGCTGTTCACAGACGCTCTCCATCCAATCTGACAAACCTTGAGCTATTCTGCAAAGAAGAATGGGCGAAAATGTCCCTCTCTAGATGTGCAAAGCTGGTAGAGACATCCCCAAAAAGACTTGCAGCTGGAATTGCAGTGAAAGGTGGTTCTACAAAGTATTGGCTGAATACAAATGCACGCCACACTTTCCACATATTTATTTGTAAAAAATGTTGAAAACCATTTATCATTTTCCTTCCACTTCACAATTATGTGCCACTTTGTGTTGGTCTATCACATAAAATACATTGATGTTTTTGGTTATAGCATGACAAAATGTGGGACATTTCAAGGGGGTATGAACACTTTTTCAAAGCACTATACACTTAACCAAGGAAATATTTAAAGTGTTACTAAACCCACAACAGTAAAATCAGTCTGTATATGCAGTAAAGCATGCTTCCTATACTCACTGTGGAACCTAAGGGGTTAATCCTCTGCATTGTGGGTGTTTGATCCTGACTTCTCTGATCCTCCCCTTGTTCCAGTGTCTCCCTCTTATCTCCTGATAAGACATATCGTGTGGAGTCACTCTGCACATGCTCAGTTTGGTGTGTATTGCTAGATAGGTTTTTTTTTTTCCTTGGGAGAGTGCATGTGATCAGCACAGGGCCAATCAGCACTGTCCAGACAGAGGTCAGGGGTCCTGAATCCTCCTAGAGGAATAAAGCAAACAGCACATCAACTAATGGATGTATGGACATTTGTGTACATTGTGACAGGGGGGGAGGTGCATTGTAGTATCATATCACAGATAACTTTTTTTTTTTTTATTCTTTAGTTGATGTGCTGTTTGGTATATTAATTGGTGCACTTAGCACATATAATAACATGTGGGGGAGGTGCATTATAGCACGCTCACCATATCTGTACACCTTATGGATATTTTAACTACAGTTGCATATAGGTATAGTTGTTCACTCACACAATTCCTCAGCAAGAGGGGAGGTGTTTTATAGCACATTCACACAACACTTTATTGTGGTTTCCACGAAGGTGTTGGATTGGCAGCGCAGCATTTATTTAAAAACATGCATGTATGTATTTTAAGGGCTAGTTTACACTAGTGTCAGGCTATGAAGAGAGATCCACAGGGAAAGCATTTTAGAGAACAATAGGAGGTGAGGAGGTGTTATCTCACTCCCTCCCTGTGCATGTTTGTGTGGCAAATATAGAGAGCCCTTGATTGTGATGGGGGTTTAATTCTTGCCATGACCATGAAGCAAAGCATCACATTCATGGCACTTGTACACCCTGTCCACTGCCTTTCCAGGGTACAAGTGTAAGAGAGGTTGAAGATAATGGACCAAGGGACGCCAAATGGCCTAAGGGCCGGAAGCAACCCTTGGGGCACTATTACTCCCAATGATATGAGGCACTAGTTCTTCCACTGATACCAATGATGGGGCATTATTCCTCCTCCTACTGACCACCAACCCTAAAGCCATGTTTATTCTCACTGATGCTGGGCCCGGGACATTTTCTACCCTCACTGGCAATATTCCGGCCCCTTAATATCTGTAGGACAGTAAACTGGACCTTTGTGTGAAAAGTTTGGAGACCCGTGTAATTAGGGATGTACCGATATTTTCAGTACTCGTACTTGTGAAAATGCTCCCAGTACTGGAAACTGATACTTTGCTGTGTAATTTATGCCAATACATATTATGGTTTCCCCACTGCTCCTGTGAGAAGCCAGGCTTGTCATAGCCCGAGTTCACACAGGAGTGGTGCAGGGAACCTCCGTTGCTGAGCGGAGAGTGGGCCTGTGGGGATGTATACTATGGAAGCAGATGCTCCATTTTATCAGCGGTAGGAGAGGATAGAAAGCACCGGGTTTAGAGGACTTTTGATTGGTGAGCACTGTCACATGGACGGTGCTGGCCAGTCAGATGTCATCTAGCCCGTATTGTCATAACTGCAAGGAGAGTAGAGAAAGCAGTGGGATTTCAAATCCCCAGATCTGTGAAGCAGTTTTCTCTCCTCTCCTTGCAGGGATGACAGTATGGGCTAGACGACATCTGATTGGTTAGCACTGTCCATGTGATCGTGCTGACCAATCAAAAGCCCTGTAGCCCAAATTGTCATCCCTGCAAGGAGAGAAGCGAAAGCAGTGGGGATTTGAAATCCCAGACACTTTCTCTTCCCTCCTACCACTGAGAATATGGAGCATCTGACACCATAGTATACATCCCCTCATGCCCACTCACCACTACAGAAAACCTCCCTGCACCTCTCCTGTGTGAAAAGCCTGGGTTCAACAGGAGCAGTGGGGAAACCACATGCGATTTAGACAATTCCTGATCAAATTGCAGGCTATTCTTTGCGTCCAATTTGCATCCATACATTTTGCGTTGACGGAAATCGCACTGCAAAGAAACGGTAATTGCTATCGGTGAGTACTTGAGCTGAAAGTATGGGTACTCATACTTGCCGATAAAAAAAGAGTATCGGTGCATCCCTACTGTAATAGACTTTTATCTGCGCTTTTACCTGCAATTTGTTTAGGTTGGTGACAGAAGAAACACTTGGATGAAAAAATTGTCAGGCATCCATGTTAATATGGATAATTCCACATAATAATCTGGTGAATGTACTTTTTTTTTAGGAATATGTTTTAAACGTGTTCCTTTACCAACATGTACTACCATTGACGGGAAGAAGAATGATCTTTTGCTCATGAAGGCAGTAAGGACTTGATGGGAAATATACTTACTGTATCATTTACAGTTCACATGGTCCTGACCGGAATCTGATCCATACTTTGCAGTAATTGTGTAATGAACTAGAGGATTTCCTTAGGAGCAATCTGTTCCTATCGCGTTATCAGCATGAGCCTCATAAACAGAGATACTACGAAAAGTCATGTCAGCACTTCAAAGCTATGAATGAACGTTATGAAGCCTGATGAAATCTCAGCCTGTTTTGTCATTACAAGGAACATGATTAGTCACGTTCATGACTCAGGGCTCTTGATAGTCAGAAACGCATGATGTGAATTTCTGAAACTAAAGCGGAATTTTTAGCCAAACAACAAAATATGTCACTGAAATATTACTTATGTGGTACATATAAACCAGTCTACCTTCCAAAATATCTACAATTTCTTAAAGCTGAACTCCAGGCACACACACTTTAATTTAAATATATATTCCTCTATAGCCCATGGGTGGAGCCGCACTTGCTGACGTCATGCTGCCGCTGCCGAAGGTCGGAGCAGCGGCCATCTTGGTACTCCATTTTATCACTTTTAGTATAGACTCCACGTGAATTTTTTTTACTGATTCTTGCAATAACGTACTGCACTATATACCATTTCTGGGCCCCTGTTGTGAGCTATTCTTCCTAGGAGACGGTCCATCTGCAGTTTGCCCTTGGCGGAGCATTCCATATAGAGGCTTCTGGCTGTTTCCTATGTCCTGATGTAATGTGCTTACATGCTGTTTACCAGTAGTTTTCTGGTAAGTCTTCATCTGACAGAGGTGGTGGATTTCTTCACTGGATCATTTCACAGTTTTTCACCGTGATTGCTGTGCCTTATAGTCCCACGGACATTATTTATTATAACATAAATGGACTTTATTTATTTTCACTTTATATGTTGCACTTGACTGTTCCATATTTATCAATTATTTCGTTAGCGCTATACCCTTTATCAGCACTACACTTGATTGTTTCACAATATTTATTTAATTATTTATTTTTTTATTTAATTAATTCATTTATTTATTTAGCGCTGCACTTTGTACTATACGTTGTGTGCTCCAAATATCTTTGCAAAGGCCAGATATTATCTTGTAAACATAGCAGTATAACACCCCTGTGTTATACATAGTCTGTGCAGAGAGCAGAGTTGTAGGAGGGGCCATACAGACTCCACCCACTGCAGGCTGCCTGCAGAGAACTAGAGGAGGGGGCGGAGACAGGACCAGTCACTCTACACAAGGAGAGAGATCAGCAGTGAGCGGTCTTTATTACAGGAAGTTCCTGCACAGAGCTAACGTTTCACACTGGATTACTATACAGACCTGGAAGAAATACACAAAGCACACCAAGATTCAAGGAAGAATGCACATGATGAATGTATTCAGACAATATTTACTGACCACAGTTCAGCTTTAATACTGCAAACTGTGAACCTCTCTGCAGCAAATGCCTGGCTGGAAGAGTTCTAGCATCATCTAGTCCTTTCCAGACTTAGTGGTCTTGACCAACCCTTTAATTCATTGGATTTCACTTCTTTCAATCACACAGGCTTGACGTGACATGTGTGGGTGCTTACATAGGATGGTCTGCATGCAAATACGGTCTACCTAGTGTAGCACTACCCCCTTAGGGATGGCTGATGAATTGGGGTCCCCTATAGATCTGCACAGCCAGTCATTCAGTATTTTTCACACAGCTTTCATCTGGAGACAGAAACCAGTGCTTGAACATTGGTTTTGTTATTTATTAAGGGGATTAGAACTTGGATAGGGTATAGGGATGCATAGAATGCCCAAGGGGACAGATATCTGAGGACAACTTCCTGAACTATTCACAACTATTCTCTTCTCTGATGCAGTCTCTGCTGGAATGCTAGCCAGCATCTCCTGGTTGTACCACCCCAGACCCTAGATGAACTCATTCTGCAATCTGGAGACTTTCTTCCTGAGCAGGGGATCTGGCTCCTGCCCCTTTAAATGAGGTGAACAGTAACTAGTAGGGGGCTAATCTGGTTTCCCACTAGAGTGCTCCTTCCCCTATCTGCCCAGGGGGTGCAGGTGTACTCACTCAGATCCTTCCATGTACCGCTTGTGGGTTGGCTGCTGCTACCAGGTCTATCAGCTGGGCCACTCCATCCCTGACACATAGGTGGTCCTCGCTCAGGGGGCCAGTGATTCCTGAGTTTTCCTCCCCTCCAACTCCAGGCTTTGTGTTAGTCTTTTGGAGTCCTGAAATATTAATTTATTACAGAACTTATGTATAAGTAATTGCCTGTATCTGCTGAGGGTATAACAACCTGGAGGGATGGGTAGAAGTCATAACCAAAATATATCCAAAAGTGCATGGGACTTACTGCACTTGGCTTAATGCTTCTCACATAACATTGTCCTCCCAAAAAAAAAATATTAAATTGCATTCAAGTAAACCTGCTTGGAGATGTGTAAAAACAAGAGGTTTTTATTGATAAAATCCACAAGGCCAGAAATTTGGAATTCGATACATGCAGATAAAGTCCATATGCTGGTCACAAGATCAATGGCAAGCAATGTACTTGTTGGTCATAATAAACCTATTATAGCCTTGAACATACATACCCCCGTGACAGGTGGTCTGCATGTACTGAAAATCAAATTTCTGGCTGGGATTTTACCAATAAAAACTTCTTGTCCTTATACATCTCTAAGTGGGTTTACTTTAATGAAATTTAAAAAACAATTTGTGGGAGGATAATCTCAAGTGAGAAACAATAAGTTTGTGCAGTAAGTTCCAAGTGCTTTTGGATATAATTTGGCCCTATGGGGAGAAGGACCATCACCTACATGGTCCTGGACAGCCGTGATCACCATCCATGGGCTCTCGGCACTGCCACCTGCCGCTCCCACTCCAATTT